CCTGTGTAGTGGACATTTTAATCTGTTTGGCTGCTTTGCATCTGTTCTATGCATTTATTGTTTTGTAATAGCACCCTTATTTCCACTTGGGGAATTATATCTCCCTCACTGGATACAGGTTGATGAGACTGGTAGAGGGTTTCCCATGCCAAAGAACCCTGAGGATTCCACTTATTAGATTTGACCCGTTGTTCCAGCTTGCCAAGATTCTGTTTCCCAAAGTATTTCCTAGTCTTCCCAGTTTCACAGAATTTACTGACTTGATCACTAATCTTTTTAAAAAATGGGTTTTTTTTATTGATTTCAGAGAGGGAGAGAGAGGAGCATCAATAATGAGAGAATCATTGATCGGCTGCCTCCTACATGCCCCCTACTGGGGATCAAGACCCAACCTGGGCATGTGCCCTGACTGGGAATCAAATCGTGACCTCCTGATTTATAGGTCGATGCTCAACCACTCAGACATGCTGGCCACATGGGTCAACTCTTTAATCCTTCTGGTAAACCTTTGAGATAAACACCATTATTATCTCCACTTTACAGATAAAGAAGCTGAGACACTGAAAGGTTAGGCCACTCAAATAGGTTCGTTGCCTTAAGGATTTCAGTCTAACAAAGAAGGCAGATAAGCAAAGAAACCTTTATAACATGGTGCAATAATGTGTTATAATGAAGTTATTATACAAAATGGAGTGGAGGCATAGAAGCAGCAGCACTAAATTTGTCTGGGGTAGTAGGAAAGGCTAATCAAGAGAAATCATTTCTGAACTAACACTTGCAGGAGGAGAAGCAGTTTATCACAGATAGAAATGTTAGGCTGGAGGCTGGGCTGGAGAGAGGAGGAAATTGGCTTTGACTAGGCTGAGGTGTGGGAAAAGCACTAGGCTATGTGGGTTCATGTGTATAGCACAAAGGATGTGAGTAGAGCAAACGCTTCAATTCTTTCAAAGCATTCTGGTTTTACAGGAAGTAGGCTGGAAACTCAATAAGCACCTTTCACCCAGCTGGCCTGGCTCAGTGGTTGAGCATCGATCTATGAACAAGGAGGTCACGGTTTGATTCCGGTCAGGGTATATGCCCGGGGTTGCGGGCTCCATCCCCAGTGTTGGGCATGCAGGAGGCAGCCGATCAATGATTCTCTCTCATCATTGATGTTTCTCTCTCTCTCCCTTTCCCTTCCTCTCTGAAATAATTTTTTTTTAAATAAGCACCTTTCCTACTCATTCCATCATATACCCCATGACTTCACACACACCTACATTTCAACATTGGTATCTGCTTCACCTGCACATCCAAGGTAATACTGGGCATATCTGTGTCAATGTAGATTCTCCTTAAGTCAATACTTAATTTCAGAAGGTGGTCCATACATTTAAAATAAAGTGTTGTTTTAATTGGCAGGTGGATCTGTTGGCACCAATGATTATTCACAGCATCATGACCCAGGGTGCCCGTCACAAGTTCTCCAGCCTCTACATCTCTCAGTTTATCATCATGTATAGTATCGATGGGCTGAAGTGGCAGAGCTATCGAGGGAATTCCACTGGGACCTTAATGGTATGTAATTAATCCTTTCCAGAGAATGCACGAATCTTTTAAAGAGCTTCTGACAGATTTCAGATATGAGACAAATACTCCTAGCATCTACAGACTTAACTCCCAGAGTTTTCCATGTGTACGTAGTAGGAGTGATTATGGATATACTAGAGGCCTGGTGCACGGATTCGTGCACCGGTGGGGTCCCTCAGCTTGACCTGCACCCTCTTGCAATCCAGGACCCTGCGAGGGATGTCGGACTGCCCATTTCGGACTCATCCCTGCAGGTCTGGCCGAGGGATGTAGTAGTGTGTGAAGTGGCAGATGGCCAGGGAGGTTCCCGAGCCTGGGCCAGGCGCCTGGTGGCTCCTGCTCATCCGGCCCTGCTGCACCTGCTACCATTGCTCTGTAAGCTCGCCGAGAGGCATTCCCA